GATGCAAAAGTGGTTGTTTTTGCAACAGTAAAAGCATAACCGCAGTCCCAGCGTGCTTGTGCATGTCGCGACGAGACGACCAAATCGTTCATTTGAAGTTGTTATAGGCAGCAGAGGGTTTCACTACCCCGCCGTGTGTGTGTCTACCGCACGTTTTAATAATATTATCATCACCCAGGAATGTCTGTCCTTAACGCTCGTGACGTCACTCCACACCGACCAGCCCCCCTCATTAATATTCATGAGCAGGTGACGTCACTCCACATGGACCCCCCCACTAATATTCATGAGCAGGTGACGTCACTCCACATGGAGCACCCTCCCCCTTCATTAATAACATGAGCAGGTGACGTCACTACATCGACCAACCCCCTAATTAATATTCATGAGCAAGTGACGTCACTCCACATGGGGGGCGAGGCGCCTCCTCCCGCCCCCTCCCTCCTCGGCGTCAACTGACAACCCTCACGACACGTGGTCTCCGTAACGCTGTTGAGACATCAAAGTTAAAAGGATGTCGTGATGAACAATGGATTAGAAGCTTTATAAATGAAATAAGTCTGTGTCACCGCGCCCTTGCGAATTGCACACGAATTGATGCAATGAATGTCACGTCGAGGTCTGCTTTTCGCTTGCAAGTTCCAGATTCACTGCAATACACCCATCCTTGGACGGGCAAAAGGCTCGTATCAATATAATCAGTGGTAAAATATCCGAACCGGCTCTGGGGCCCTTCCCCTAGGTCGACTCGGCCTTCAATACGAGCACGTGGTGTGCCCCGGTGCGTTTTACCATCATCAGCAGTGGGAGGCAAAGGCGGCCTGGGCCAGGCAGTGGTTACCGCTGGCACCAAAACCCTCCTAACCGGCGTGGGCTCTATCTACCCTTTAATCGTCGTGTTCCAGGGCTGCAGGAGGAAGGTGGTGGTGGTGGGGGTCTTTGTGCGGGCCCCGCGACCACCACCACCACCCCTCTCCTCTCCAAACTCCCCCGTGAAAAATCCCGACACCGCCCCGGAATTGTAACGGGGACAGGTGGTGTTTTCGTACAGCCCTGGCTGCACATTTAGTTTAATGCCACACTTTTAACTGTACTCCCCCCCAACCCCAACAAGGTTTAGATGAAAAAATGAGTCCATTAAAAATGATAACAATAATGTACAGACCTCGTGTCAATCCACTGCTCGATGAGGGGCTCTTGCATACAGTGAAGTGTACAGGGGGCTGTTTGATTATTACTTCATCACGGTTGAAGGTGGAGGGGGGAGTCGGGAAAACAAAGGTGGCCGGGTTTTTAGCTCAACGTCCTAATCAATGCGCCACCGATGAAACCTAAACAAATGCAAAACATATATAATTAATATTTTCATAATAATCACACGTGGCTTGGGATGGCCTTCATCCAGCGGTGGATTGACCATGGCTGCTGACAATAGTGATGATGAAGAATAATGACATGCAAAGTGATCCTGTAATACCGAGAAAGAATTTGGGTCACTTGAAAAACGAGGGCGGCCGGCTAACCAAGGTTGGTGGTTGTAGTCTTGAAAAAAAAAGAGGCATGATTACGATTACCGTATTCTCCGGATGTAATGACCAATCTGGAAAGTAAGACGCACACGAAACACGTGCGCCCCCCCCCCCCCCCCGTGTCATCAATAAAATCAAACAAATCTGGCCTCGCTCAGCGGGGCGAGAAGACAGCGTACTTCACAAACGGGGTGGCTTTAAAAATACACGCTCAGCAAGAGAGGGGGGGTGGGTGTCTCGTAATCCGGAGAACACGGTATTTTACGGGCCGAACCTTGTTGTTTGTGCAGCGATTTTCGCAGCGCAGGAAGTGATGCGAGAAGTTAAAAGTGGAAGCTTGGGGGAGGGGATGGTGGTGGTGTGGTGGGGGGGTCATCACCACGCTGTGGTGTGGCGCCCCGCAGTGGTTTGGCGCTGATGTTACAGACTGTGGCGGCAAGTGCTGTTAGCGAGTAGCACAACGACCACGTCACAACAGGTACGGCAGCCACGTGGTGCACGGGCTGGCAGATTAAACGTTGGTACCACCAAAGGTCGCAACGCTTTCGAAGTTCCGATTTATTTCTATGTCAACAATAAAAGAGTGGGCTATTTTGTGGCCCACTATTTTTTGCAGTGTTTATCTCAAAATTCACTTTTATTGGCCCCATAAATAAATTGGAACCACCCTGCTTGTTAATAGAAAACAAAGATTCTCTCTCCCCGTATGTAGCTCGTAATATAGACCGTTGGGGAACGTAAACTAGAACTTTTATTTCACCAAATAAGGCCCACAGCTATTTAACTCTTTTTCAGTAGCGACTTGGCCACACATTATAGCTCAACGAAGTGGCTCGTGATGTGGAAATTTATAGCAGCCAAATACTCTAAACGCATTTTGATTCTTAATGCGGAGGGAAAAACTGGAGGACCCGTAGAAAAATCCACGCGACCACGGGAAGAACATGCAAACTCCAAATATACAAGCGTCCAGGTTAGGATCGAACCCACGACCTCCTGCAAATCAGGCAAGGGAGTTCACTTTTTGCCACCTTTGCACCCTGTGCTGTTGGTGAGCACCTATTATAGTCGGGATGGTGCATGATGGGGTAGTGTGGTCAGGACCATGCTTGGCCTGCCTTTGTCTCCCCATTGCTGATGTTTACACACACACACACACGCGGACATTGGGGTTTCATTAAGAATTTGGGGACATCATTTGAATGTGTTCGAATTAAATATGCCATGTTTTAATTAGAATTGTGCTGTCTTACAACACATTCTATACACAATGGGCTTATGTATCAGACAATGGCAAGTCAGGTCTTTTACCGGAAACATTGGCATATTATCTAATTGCTCTGCTATCATTGCAGTGCAGTGATTAATGGCATCCGAGCTATTAGTATTTGTGCTTCGTGCACCACTGCAAATTCTGGCCGTGAATCATCAGCGGCATAGGTCACTTCCACTGCTGGATGAAGGCCTTCCCAAGCCATTGAACCGTTCACGATTCTGCGATGCTGTCAGTTTACCAACACCTGCGCACATGCTGATTGCAGTCCGTTAATAGTGGGCTTTATATTCTTTACACACGCAAGCGCATATGTACGTAAAATAAAAAAACTCGCATGCGTAAATATATGCAATACATGAAATATATAACCAGGCAAGTGCCCCACGGAGAGAGGGCACTCTTGCAAGAGAGACCTGGGGTAAAATGAAACCAGCTGCTCACCACCGGGGGAATCAAAGCCGGGTCAAAATAAACCAAAGTTTTCCACGATAGCTGTGCACCGGCTGTGTTAACGCGCTGCACGTGAGCCTGTCGATTTACACGTCACACGCAGCAAGCCATACATAACGCCAATATCGTGTGTGTGAATGTATATTGAACTTCTTTTGCCACCGTGCGTAGCCAACCGTGCTAATCGGATATGTACGTGCACATGCACAAGCTTACTTAGATAATAGTCTGGCACAAGCGCCGCGGTGACGTTCCCGCCACTTGGTGGCAAATGAATGGCGGTTGTTGTTGGACATGCACAGCAATTTTGCAGTCCGTCTGAAATGCGGCCGCCAGCGCATGTGCACTCACTCACACTCCTTCAGGACCACCTCTGCTCATGTCACTGCATTTGCTTCCAGTTCAAACTCATAACGAGTTAAACATTCTCCTACTTGTGTTCACGGCTTTCACTGGGCTTGGACCACCACACCATTTCTCCACTGAGACCTCTGAGATCCACTGACCTAGCCGCGTGTTCTTCATTACAAGTCCCTCAGGCCAGTGGCGGCCCCTAGTGGCCTTTAGTGCGGCCCCTGGCTTGTGGGGTAGCAACAATGTACGAATTGTAAAACACCTTCTATCATCATCATCGTGGTGTCAAACCTCAATGGTTTCAAATGTGTGGCGGCCCTCACACTGATGATGTTTTATCGGCGAAAGTGACTCCACCCCCTTTGAAAATTAGTGAAGAACACTGCTGTAGGGTGACCCGCGGGTTGTCGTCCGCACGGTGCCCAGGCTCTGGAGTTCCCTGTTCTTTGAGGTCAGGAGCTCTCGCAGTCCATAGAGACTTGAGATCCCACCACTTGTTTAAAAGGAGCGCGCTCTCTCTCTAGTTCCCTATCTCGTCTCTTTAGTCTCTCTCTGGTTAATTTTCACTTATTTTCCTCCTTTACACGCATGGTGTCCTGAGATCCATTATTAAACGGCTTCTTTATGAATATAAATCGTAATTATTATTACTTTGGTCAGTCCACTGCCCCCCACACACCGGGTGCGGGTCGCGGTGGGCCACTTGGGCCATACTTCCACGCTGGTCGGTGCGGGTTGGCGGACGTGGCGAACGTGGACAATGGGAGCGGTGGAAGTACAGGACAACAATGGATTTTGCTGCACTGCCCCTCCACTGCACAGGGGCATAGAGCCCTCTCCACAGCAGGCCCACAGTGCCCAATTTGTGCACGATGGTTGCCTGTCCGAGCACTATCCAAGCTCAACGCCGCATGGCTTACGAGCTCCGATGGGATCGGTTGCAAATTGTGTGTGTAATTTACAGCCCTTAGTCTATACACTGCTGGATGAAGACCTCCCCACGATGTGTCAGCCGTGGGTGCTATCTCACAACGCTGCCCGGTGGGGAGGTGGGTTGGTGAAGGGGGGCTGCCAGGACCGGTTTGGGAATCGGAACTTGGGTCGCCGAATTCATAGTGCATTGCGCTAACCACTGCGCCACTGTTCCCACCAACTCAGTTTCGTGAAATCGAGTGCGTGGGTGTGCGCGTGTGCGCGTGCGTTCGTGATTCTCACTTGGTCTCATTGCACTCCCAGCTCTCCGCTCCTGTGTCTGCACACCATTGCCTCACCTCGGCAATCCTCACCTGTATCTACGCCCCTCCTCCTCCTCCTCCCCCCCTTCCCCACCACCGTTACCTTCGTCTCACCTGGACGCCAACTCTGCCCCTCGCCCCGCGACCATCCACCAGGTGACTGCTACTGCCCGGCTGCCCTCATCCTGGGCTTCCCGCAGTACTGCCGCTACCGCGCGCTGCTCAAGCGCCTGCACGAGCCCGGCAAGGCGCTTTCGGACCCGACCGCGCTGGCGCTCTGGGGGCTTGGGGTGCTGGGCCCCCCGCCGGCCTCCTCCCCCCCCACGTCTCCGCTCCAGCCGCCGCAGTTCCCCGTGGTCAAGTCGGGCCCCTCGGTGCGAGTCTTCTTCTGCCGAGAGACGTTCGAGCACCCGGGGCTGGTGGAGGATGTCTCCGTGTGCCTGGATTATGGTGAGGATCCGCCACCGTTCTGCCTCGTTGCGGTGTGCAGGCGGTGCAACTCCACCGGGGCCCATGGGGCCCGGAGGAGCCTGGGCATCGGGCTGTATGAAGAGGGTGGGAATGTTGGACAGAGTTGGGGGGGGGAGCCCTATTGCGTTCTTTGCACCAGGGCCTGTGTCGACTGTGCCGACCGTGCCACGCAGCTGGCCTCAGCGCGACTATATTTAAACATTATTATAAAAATTCCACCATTCTCTTCTGTTGGTGCTGCTGCCGGTGCTGTGTTGTCATGAGACAAAGGAATATTTTTCTCCCAGTTGTTTACTCTTCCCGAAATGTATTTACTGAAAAAGCTCTTCCGGCACGTGGCCGGACCACACACGGGTAATGGAATTGGCCAAGCATCCCAAAGCAGCACCATCCTCAAAAAGTATGTTGAGATTTAGTGAGGCCTTCCTGGATAAATAAATAGCCACTGTTATTTTTATTATTGTTACATTGCGTTAGTGAAACGGCCCTGGCTTATGATATCACGAAACAATTTCTGTCCGTTGGTCTTTTATCCACGCCCGTGTGCACATCATGTGTTGTAAGCCCTGCTAAGTGAGTTAACCTGTCATCAAATCTAGATTAAAGTTTTACATTTTCTGAGTTGGAATCGGCCGAATTGAGTAAAAAACCAAAATGTAATACGATGAGGGTTTTTTTTTTATGATGCCATCATTGGTGACCATGCAGAGACTATTACCTCGCTTTGCTTGAGAAACCCAGATTATTTTCACTGTTGGCTGAAACCTGGATTCGAACCCAGGATATTTAAAAACTAAAACTACAAACAATTTTTATTTCAACCCAGTGTAAGGCCCATTGAGCTCCTGTATAGCCGTCTTTCAGAAGCGACTTTGGCCATCGCAAACTATCAGCTTAACTATAAGTGGCTTATAATGAAAACTAATTTCTTTAGGACTGCTTTTTGTGTTTAATTTGTTGTCCCCCCCCCCCCCCCGGCTCCCCACTGCACACTCCGAATAACATGGTTGGCTACGTACGGTACGAAAGAAGTTCAACATACGGGCTCTCGCCGGTACCTACGCGGCATCTCCGTGGGTTTCTTGTCTGTGCGTGCTGTGTCCCCGTGGCCGGGCTTCACACGCACTGGGGTTGTATTGGTGACTCAGAGTGAAAGTAGGTCACGTTGGATTTCCGCTCAAATGTGCGTGGGACCGGTCTCGTGCCCCATTTCACGGCCTTGAGCCCAGCGGTGGAAATATCACAATACCGTGGCGCATCCAAGTCTATTCGGGGGGACAAACCGCTGTTGGCTTTTCACGGAGTGGTTACTCATTTTATTGACCCCCCCCCCCCCGGAGGAGCAATGGGGCCCGAGTCGATCCCTGATTGGGACTGACTGGGATGTCAAATCTCAGCCTGCCGATTGTGATGCATCCACACGTATCGCTTGCACCACCTGGTCACGTGCGGTTACTGATTAATGCCGATTTTCAAAATGATAGCACGATTGAATCCGTGTTTCAGCCGCCCGTGGTTTAGATGTGTTCTTATGTGTGTAGTGAGTTGATGGTTTCAGCTCGGTTATCAATGGCAGTATTAAAGTAAAGTTTGCAGTAATTTTTTCTTATATTCAGGTCTCAAATAAAAAAAATACAATTTTGACGATCATGCGAATGAACGGTCATATCTCTCCTGGTTGTCGTGCTGCTTCGTGTGGGTTCCTAAGAGACGCACACGGTTCTCATGACATGACGGCGATCGCACAACTGTAGCAAATACTGGGAAATGCGTAAACCCTTTGTGCTCATAATGCGCCATTAACTGTCGCCAAATCCGTACTGCATCAAACGGTGCAGCCGGTATTATAATTTTTTATTCAAAACATGGAAAATGGGCCGACTTTACTGCAAAGTGGAAAAGAATTTGAGAACAAACATTTTTTTTGGACATAAATAGCAGAACAGAGCCAGCATTTTGTCGTGAAGCTGAATTTGTATCTGGAATTGAAGCAGTGGGAAACTGATTTTGAGAAACTGCTGCTGTTGATGATGTGGGGCGACGGATGTGTGGGGGTTTTTTTGCGGCAGTGTTTTTTTGTTCTAAGAAGTGGGTCACTGCACGTGACGGTGAGACGCTGTTTGCGGGATGCTATAAAGACACCGTTTCAAGATTTTTTAAATAATTATTAATCGGGATGAATATTTTCTTTACACTTTTGCGGGGCTAAAACGCCAACCAATTACGGCCCTGAATTCAGACGCATCCAAGCGAGCCATGCCATCACCGTCACACACTAAGCGGTGCCGAGTGTTTACACACAGACCCACACTCACTTCGGCCTTCCGTATTTGTGCCTTTAATTATGCTAGTTAATTATGCTCGTCGCTTTTACAGTAAACAATTTTTTACGTCACGCTATGTTTAATGCCCGATCAATAATTCATCATCGCGGTAATCGCTCGTAAATGTTTTCCGAAGCTGCACGAATGCCGGCGCTCTTTATTGTAAAGGCTCTTCTGTGCCTTTTGGTAATTCCCCATGCTTTTATTTCCTTGTTTTGTTTTTTCCTCCCCTCTTTTGTTGCCGTTGACTTTTATCTTTTCTCCGTGACTTCCCTCTCGCTGCACGGGACACCGTCGCTTGGCCTGCGTCCGCATCGTCTGCCGTAAACACAGAAAGTGACCACCACACTGAAAAAAGACCGATTCCTTTTCCAGCGAGCACATTTAGCGCCGTTCTAAAAGCGCGCCAAGCGGCGTTGCCACCCGTCAGCGCCCCAGCCCCAACCCGTTTACGGTGGCGGCCGCTGCAGCGTTGGAATCACCGCGTCGTGTTTGTTGTCAGGCTGCGTTAATTCCTCTCAATGACACGGGCGGCGGCGGTTCGCAGGGCGTCGACGTCACGGCCGCGTAAGCGTGGAGCTCCAGCATATCCCGTAATACGCGTACACAGCTCGCGACCACATTATAACGCTGCGGTCCCCCACCCCGCCTCGCCCCTCCCCCTCGGCCCCCCTCGCCCCCCTCCTCCAAAACCTCAGCGTGTTTATCTGATAGCGAGATGTAAATGAGGAGGTGGTAAAAGTCTTGCCTCGCTGCGACTGCTCGCTAAATTTGCTCTCGAGTCATCTTCGTCCTCGTTCCTCGCGCCTGCTCGAGTGGCCACCACCATGGGTAACGTTGCGTTCCCCCGTCGCGTTCTCCGTCGTGTTCTCATCGTGTTCTTCGTCGCGTTCCCCGTCATGATGCGGTGCGCGTGGCGATACCCGGGAGTCTGGCTTTCTTTTTTTGGCTTAAACGTTTTCTCTCTTAGAAGCAGCGCTACGTGTCTTGACAAATGTTTTAAGGGTCGCAGGTGGACATGGCTATGAGCCATATCGAGAGATATACTGGATGTGGTGTGCCAGGTGCAGACATATTTTGCGATCCGGACTGCACGGCAACATCTGGAGTGCACGGTTGGCTTCTAGCGGTCCTTTAGGAATCCTGCACGGGGGGGGGGTCCTGACTTTGGATTAAGGGGGTTGGGGGGGGGGGCTTCTCTGGCTTGGCGTTTGTTTTTATTCGTGCATGTGGCAGGAAACGCGGGGCCGTGCCGCAAAAGTGTCTCCATTGTTTGGCGAATTAAATATCGCAGATCAATTTGTCCAATCCGCGACGGGCGAGCGGTGTTATTTTTAAAACAATCCGATGGTCTCGGCCGGTGCTAAGTCGGTGCTGGTTGTGAATACTGACGTTCACGCTTGCTTTGTTTTAATAATTCGGGCCTATTCTAATCCACATTCAAAGCATTTTGCAAAGCGGTACGCGCGAACAATGCGTGGGGGTTGGAGTGGTACTAATTTTGGTTTGGAAAAGGTCTCGCGGTTCTGACGGGGTGCAGTTGTTGCAAAGGGTGGTGTGAGCATGCCGTAGGGTAATGAGCACGTGCGTGCGTGTGCGCCCGTGCGTCACTTCTGCAAAGGGAACTCGGCAGTGCAACACGGCAGTGGGAGGGAGCGCGTGCTGTGCTCTTCAAAACCACCGCCAACAACGGCGACAACAAATGACTGTCGGCGCGATTTAACGTGCGCGTCTCTCTCCCTTGCTCCCCTCCTCCCCCCCCGTACCACCCCCCTCCTTCCTCTCCCTCCCTCCTGCACTACCGCTATCGCCCCCGTTGCCCGCCGGAAGCTCCGAACCTGAAGGGCCGTCCCCGGAAGAGACGCGCGCGATTCGGACGCTCGGATTCGCGGTGTCGCCGAGACTCGAGGAGCTCCACCGAGGAGCAGGAGACCAAGGCCAAGGTAGGAGCAGGGGCAGCGGGCAGGGGGGGGCAGGTCTGAAGGCATTGGCATGTCATTTATTTGTTGGGTCGATCATTTCATTTATTCGTTCATCAATTTATGCGTTCGCTCGTTCGTATTCGCTGTGCTTTTTTTTTGCCGAGGGAGGGGCCACTGAGTTTGACGAGTTTCTTGTGCGAGGGAGACCTGGCAAGCGACCTGCAGGGGAAATGCAGAAGGGAATCGTGAGATCAGATCGGCGCAAATGGCACAGGAAGATGCTCGTAGAAAGAGCACATTTGAGAGAGCGGGAAACGCTGGCACGGCGGTTCACGCCCTGCAGATCACGGCTAACATCAGTGGCGAGTGATATTCAAACCAGTCTTGGTTGCTTTTACTTTACAAACCCGCACTGACCGTCGTGGTGAAGTATGGTCGAGACAAACACTTTGACTTACACGACACGGGGTGGGCATAAATCCAGCTGTGGATAGGTCAGGGCTGATGATGATAATAATAATAATAGTTATCGTGATGATAATGATAGCTTAAAGGTGCAGCTGAGACCGAAGTGGGATAGGGGACGAGAGGGTAGAGGGAGGCGGATCCGGCACCGCCACCGTGTTTGGCCGCCGACGCGCTCCCGCTCACCGCAGCCCCGCCACCGCCACTCCCCGCAGGTGAAGTCGGAGCTCAAAAACCACACGTGCGCCGACGGACCCACGAGGCCGCGCGCCGTCAGCAAGTCCGGCGCTGGCGGCGGCTCGTCCGCCAGGACGGGCGCTGGCGACGGCGCCTCAAAGCCCAAGGCCGGCGGAGCCTGCCCCCCGGCCGGGGGCGCCACCGTGGCCGCCCCCGCCGCCGCCGCCACCGACGCCGCTCTGTCTCCGGCCGCCACGCCGACCGCAGGGGCCGCGTCTCCGGGGGAGGGAGCGACCAACTCGGCCGCTCGCGTTGCCGCGGCGACGGTCGCGGCGGCGTCGTCGTCCGCCACGGTCGTCACCGCGGCGGTCGCGGCGACGGCGGCGGCGGCGGTGGCCGGCGGCGCGCAGGGGAAGGGCGAGAAGACGGCGGAGGAGGAGAACTTCCTGCGGGAGCTGCACGCGTTCATGCGCACGCGCAAAACCCCCATCGGCCGCATCCCCAACCTCGGCTTCAAGCAGGGTGAGCGATCGCGTCCAATTTCTACTCGCCGCGTTCACGCGCTTGAGCACTCGCCTGCATGCTCGCTTGCTCGAGCTCACAGTTTCAACACATCACTCGCTTGGCAACGTGACTACCTCGCTCGCGCGCTCACTTGTTCACTCACTCGCTGTATCTCATTCACTCACTGTCTCACTTGTTAGATCACTCACCCACTTGCTTACTCACTCACTCCCTCAATAGCTCACTCATTCACTCGTTGGCTCAACCACTCACTTGCTCCCTTGCCCACTCACTCCCCTCTGAACGTCCGTTACGGCGGTCTTGGGGAATGCACGGAGACTCCCGCCGTGTACCGCGTGCGTGCGTGCCGGCTCGCTATTCCGAGCGCAGAGTAATATCGGGCCGCGCGGGATGAGATAAGGCGACGTGCGGGCGGGTGCGCGCGTCAAAGCCCGCGCCTGCGATGTTGGCGGCGTGGTCAGTTGCCCTCGTGCGGGCGAGCGTGGGCGACCGTGGGCTAACCCGGCACACGGGGGGGAAACTTTCCTCCGCCCGCTCCCCCGAGATCTCCTCCCTATACCCCCCCCCCCGGCCCCCGCCGCCACCCCGTGACGCCGCTGATGTGAGGTTCGATTGCCCGAATAATGAGATCTGGGGATTTTCTTGAAATTTTCAACAACAACAAAAAAACACCGGACGTAAAAAGTAAACTTGAATTGTGTCATCGGTCGCTACAGTTAGTCAATCGGCAGGTCACGTGTGGTGAGGTTAATTGTAGGTATTCGCCATCTCTTCCAAGACGTCTGGCTATTGTGGCAGTGGTATGAGTTGGGCAGTTGCAGGGTTGCACCTTTACCTTTGCGTTATTGATCACGGAATATGAGGGGCGGGGAGGGGGAGTGTGAAGCTGTGCTTCGCTTTCATTGTGCCGTGAAACTGGTGACCCGAGTTTGATTTACAGCCACGGCTGACATTGGCGGCGTTTCGCGTTGTATCGTCTTGGCGTGTCGTTAAATCCGTTTGTCTTCTGTCCCACCACATATTTTTATGTCCTCGCGGGATTTTCTCGTCAATTACAGATTTGATAACCTATCCGTGCGGGGACCCTCCGGTGTTGTCCCATCGTAAGCGCGTGCCCCGTGACTTGTCGTCGTCACTCGACTAACGCCTGTGTGTCATGCTCTGTGTGTCGCTCTCTCTCTTTGTCTCTCCGGATGGCAGTCGACCTGTGGGTGATGTTCAGAGCGGTGCAGGAGCTCGGTGGCTACGAAGCGGTACGTCTGCTCTCTTAATCTCTTACGATCACCGTCGATCGCTACACCCACGTGACTGGTTTGTTCGTCCTTTTGCGATCGTCCGTGGGGGTGGGCGGGTATTAGTTGGGGTAGGTGGGTTGATTTGGGTGGGTGGCTATGAGTTTGGGTGGAGGTGGGTATGGGTGGGGGTGGATATGGATATGGGTTTTGATGAATGGCTATGGGTGTGGGTGTGTATGGGTTTATGTGAGTGTGTATGGGTTTGTGTGGGGATGAGTTTGAGTGGGTATGACTTTGGGTGGGTGGGTATGGATGGGGGCGAGTGGGTGGGTATGGGGTTTGGGTAGGTATGGGTGTATGGGTGGGGGTGTGTATGGGTATGGATGCTCTAGCAGTATATTGTACACCCTGGACACCATTGCAAACGAGTGTTTTATCTCAAGGGATTTACCCAGGTGAAATATTGATATAAATAATAATAGAGGTAAGATGTGCAGTCATAACTAGGTGCTCCACAACTCCAAACAGTTTAATGAAATTAATGATAAGTTAGCAAGTTTGAGGCGTTGTCATGGGAAGCTTAGATAACCCGCAACTCCGTGCGCAACACAGGCTGAAGTGGAGAGGGGGGAGGGCGGATTAAAAGGAATGAAACGAGTGAATTATTAAACCCGTTGTGTGGCAGCGGTTGGTGGGGAGATGATTAAAATAGAAACGATCACCAATGGATTGCAAAGTAGCCACACTGGATGAGCTGGCAGTTGGGTTATCGTAAAATCAATTGTACATCTGTGGGTTAGCAAGTATTTTTGTTCCAGGACCTGCCCCCTTATTTATACGGCGCACGCAATTGCCGGTCAGCCATGTCAAATTCAAGCAAAATTGTGTGAAACCAATGACCACACACACTCACCCTCCGCTCGTAAAACCACGGTGACATTTAACATTTCTGGGTGACCAACATTCATTGATCATTGTGAGCAGTTAATATAAACTATAAAAAACGATATTTTATTTCACTGGGTAAGGCCCACTGAGCTATATTGCTCTTTTTCAGAGAGCGACCTGGCCACAAATGACAGCTCAACGAAGTGGTTTATCACGTGGAAATTAATAGCAGCCAAATGCTATAAATGCATGTTGATTCTAAATGTGGAGAGAAAAACCGGAGTACCCGGAGGAAAAAAACACGCGACCATGGAGAGAGAGACATCACAAAACCCACGACCCTCTGTATACCAGGCGAGGTAGTTAACATCTCGCCACCGGGCGATGAATTCTCACGGAAAGGTCTGCTTCCAATTTTGAATGGAAGATGAATCGTGCTATTTATTTATTTATTGCATAAATGCAGCTAAGGTATTTATTTCATTCGTGTTTTTAACTTTCAGTAAATAGCACAGGGAACGTTTTTAGTGCTGGTCCTTTTGACCTAGGTGAGGGAGGTCACAGGTTGTACATAGGTCACTATCAACAACTTAAGGTCCCACCCAGTTCCTTCTGGTCAGAATAAATTAAGCTCAACGAATGTTGCCTGGACATCGCGATTGATTCGCGGTTCACGGGCGGGCAAATTAAGTTCTTCCTGGGGTGGACGAAACGACAACGCACGCACGCATGCGAGCCTTCCCCCGCGGCAGCGTCGCTAACCGTTGTCCCTGTGCCACGCGTCTCACTCAGGTGACGTCACAGCGGCTCTGGAAGCAGATCTACGACACACTGGGTGGAAACCGCGGCAGCACGAGCGCCGCCACGTGCACCCGGCGCCACTACGAGAGGTGCGAAGGGGGCGGGAAGGGGGGGGTGGGCGGCGGGAGGTGGGGGGGAGGGACACGGGACGCTGTCCAACGCTGCCATTTCCCAAACCTACCTCCGGTGCCCGCGACGCGGAATGTAAACGTTGCGTGTCCCACGCAGGCTCATCCTTCCGTACGAGCGGCACGTGAAGGGCGAGGAGGACAAGCCACTCCCTCCGCCGGTGAAGCCGCGCAAGCGGAGCGACGCCTCCTCCTCCTCCTCCTCGGGCGACAAGAAGAAGCAGCAGCAGCAGAGCGAAGAGGAGGAGGAGGGGGAGACGACGATGACGGCGGACGAGAAGGAAGAACGCCTCCGGCGATTGGAGGCCGAGGCGGGTAACGCGGTCGCCGCGCCGGCGGGGGCGGCCGTCCGACGAGAGTCGGCCGACGGTGCCGTCAAGAGGCCGAGCGCGATGGTGCTCAAGGACAAGGAGGTGCGATTGCTCGGCGGGTCGCGACGATTTGGTGAATCGCGACGGTGGGACCGGGGGGGTGAGAATTGTTTAGTGGGTGGTAGTTTTTGTGTTCTTCCTCGCCTCGTTGTTACTCGGGGATGGCTGTCGTCGATTTGTCGGGTCCACTGCTGCACGAAGGCCCCACCCAACATGCAATGTCGGTTCAAGTGGCTTGTTTGATCGTACTTCACCGCGGGTTAATGAATTGAGGAGGAAGTACAGAGAACACCGTATTTTGCTTCGTTGCCCACTGCTGCCCCACAACGCCCACTCAAACTTAAACCCGCCGAGCTGGTGAGGTCTGACAGGATAGGGCAGGTCTAAGTCAGAATATTTATACTGGAGGAATCTGATGAGCTATAAAGCTCTTTTGACAGATGTCCAGGAGGGACGGGTAAGAACATAACATCAACAAACAATACAAAACACGATAATAGTTAGAAGTACAAGGGTAAAAAAAAAAAATCCCCTTTAAAACATACCAATAAAACGAAACCATCCCCATCCTACCCGATTGTCGCAGGTGAAGCGGGAGAGTGTGGAACTCGCCACGCGGGCCCTCCACCCCGACTCGAAGGAGGACAGCCCGTCCGCCGTGCCGCTCGTCAGCGGCCTCGTCATCCCGGAGCTCAAGAAGGAGTCGGCCAGCATCCTCAAGGACGACTGGCTGCAGAGCGTTCTCAAGCGGCAGGCGGGCGCCGGCGAGCAGCGGGTCCTGGCCGTGGGCCACGCCGTGCCGGGCCTCCTGCAGGCCCGCACGGTGCAGGGCCACCTCGGCCACTTCGTCAACAACATCATCATGTCGCAGTTCTCCGACTTCGGCCCCGCGCGCTGCGCCACCGACGCCGGCTCGGCCGCCCGTGAGGGCCAACCGCAGGCGGCCGACGACGGGGGCCCCGAGCTGAGCTCGCTCGCCGCCGAAGGAGGCCCCGCAAAGAACGGGGTGACGGCCGCGACCGGACTGGCGGCACCGTCGCCTCAGCCGGTGGCCGGCGCGGGCGGCGGCGGCGGCGGTAATGGCGGCGGGCCGGGCGCGATGTCGCCGCTCGCCCGTAAGAAGCTGCTGGCGCAGGTGAGCGCCATGAAGCCGGTGGGAGCGGCGCCGCAGCCGCTGGCGTTGCGCGGCGGCGGTGCGGCCGACGCTCCCGACGTGCCCTCTCCGCCGTCGCCCCTGAATGTCGCGGCCTCCTCTGGCAAGAGGCCGACCGTGATCCAGCACGTTCATCTGGGCACCGGCGCGGGCAGGGAGACGGACGAGATGCCGGGTTTCGACCCGGCGCTCTCCTCAAAGGAGGTGAGCCGCCTGACCGAGTTCTACGGGAAGCACTTCACGCTGCCGTACCTCGCCCACCCCTTCAACGCGGCGGTGACGGCGGCGCTGTCGGCGGAGAGCGCGTGGCACGACGCCGACGCCAGGGACTCGCTGCGGCACTCGCCGCGGTGCCGGGGCGAGCAGGAGGCGAGCCGGCGCAGGCCGGAGTTGGACGACCGCCTACCGAGCTCGCCGCCGGCACTGCTGCGGTCGCCGCCGCGGACGGCGCGGGGTCCAGTGGCCGGGGCGCCGGCGGAGCCGTGCGGCGATGACGAGCAGCCGACCGACCTCAGCCTGCGCAAGCCGGTGACGCCGCAGAAGCTCGCGGCGGGCACGAAGCCGGAGGCGGCGGCGCGGCCCAAGCCGCCCCCACCGGCGCCGTCGCCGGCGATGGACGCGTCGAAGGTCAAGGGTCACCCAGTGCCGGAGTTCCTGAAGGCGATGCCATTCGCGTCGTTCCCCCTGATCTCGCACGCGTTCTTCGACCTCAACCGCCTGTGCGGCGGCATCGCTTCCAAGCAGCAGCAGCAGCAGCAGCAGTCCCAGCCGGGCGTCGCCACCGGCACCGGCCCGGTGTTCCTGGACAAGACCGTGGCCGCGAGGCAGCAGCAGAACGCCGAGCAGCCTCCCTCCGCCGGTGCCACGAGCCCCCGCAAACGGACGGCGTCTGACGGCGGTGGTGGCAGCGGTGGCGTCGGCAGCGGCGACGCGCCGAGCAAAAAACTCAAGACGGAGGGGGAGGCGCCGAGCTCCGCCGTGGCGCCGCAGTTCTACCTGAGCCCGTTCAGCATGGCTCTGCTGCCGCAGACGAAGGCCGCGGTCGGCGACACGAGTGGCGGTGGCGGCGCCGGCACCGTGACCTTCTCCGGCACCCACGACGGGCGCCTGCAACCCGTGCCGATCCCTGAGCAGCTCTTGAAGGCGCGCGCCGCGGGCATCCCCATCCTGCCGCTCAACCCTTTCCTGGTGCCGGCCACTTTCCAGGGGCGGCCGCTGCTGCTGCCGGCACCCGTGCGGCCGCAGGTGGCGTACGGACGCGTGGCCCCGTCGCCCTCGTCACCATCGGCGGTGTCGTCGTCGTCCTCGTCCTCCTCTTCCTCCTCCTCCACGTCCTCGTCCACCTCCTCGTCCACCTCCTCGTCGCCTACGCTGTCGCCCGCGTCGGTGTCGTACGAGGAGATTCTGCACCGCAGCCGACTGGCCTACGCCGCCATGGTGCACTCTCCGCTCATTTACCCCAACGGCAGGATGTGAGGGAGCAGCGCGCCTGGGCTGGCACGGGAGTGGGGGGCGGTTTGGGGGGCCGCTGCGCAGTCCGATAAACGATGACCTTTCTGATGAACCGGTTGGTTCCCCCGCGCTCGCTCGCCGGACGTGCCGGCCCGGAGCGACGGTGGTCCCCAAACTCGCGATCATTTCACTCGTCCGTTGTACTGCACTGGCAAATTTTTGTTAAAGAAGAAAAAAGAATGAAATAACGGAAAGAAAAAAATAATTTCATGAAGTTCATGGCTAATGCTGGTATGTGAATTTTTCACGGGCTGCGCACTGAAGCTTTTTTATAGGTAATTTGGCCGACTCTTAACGCTCTCACGAGGAACTCGGTTACAGACATCTATTTTTCTAAACAAACCTCAGACTTTAGGCAAGGACCTCCATCCGCAAGCTCAAAATAACCGCTGTGTCCTTCGTAAGAAGTATAAACTGCAAACCTCTCTCCCATTGGAGGAACATTAACAGAGTATTTTCCATGCACGATCAAAGATAATGATGTGAATACAGCAACTTCTTGTGCCATCTTTTCTGCCCAGCATGACAAGACAAAACCACATGCACACACACTCGCACACACTCTCACACACGCACGAACACACGCGCACACTCTCTTGTTCTGCGTCAGAACGAGAGCGATGCCAGTTTCACCGATTTCCCCATTCGTACCCGACGCAAAACGCCATCGCAATGTGAACCACCCCTCAAAGCGTAACTGGTAGTACTACTGACAAGCGGTGGAACCGATACGTTTTTGCTGACGAGTTAGGGAAAACATTCCGCGGCGGGATGATGTTCTAGTTTCATCGCGTGGGGAGCTCTTCGGCGGATTTGCGCGCAAGGTGCGCGTTCTCTGCGATGGAGCCGAGCGTTGCCTTAAAACGAGCGGGTGGCAGCTACAATAGAAAACCTACAGCAGGGAGGCTCGCGTGTGCGCGCCTGGGTCTTGCTGTTACGCTGGTCGGAGGAGATTTCAAAAATGTCCTCCCATGAAAATAATAATAATGAGCTGTACATTTGGCAGGCTTTCTTCTTAACACTGGCTGCAAACGGGGGAAAAAACGGACGTATTTTTTATAACTATTTCTCTATGTAGAAAAACAAATGTATTTACAAATTGTTAACTGACGACGCAAATATCTATATGTATGTGTATATATATAAAACAATTACTGCGTTACTGTACTTGTAAAAGAAACCACACATTTGAGTTCGGGCCCGATTTAGAAGTTTTTGTTTTCATCACGGCGCAGCGATGGCACGTTCGCCACTTGCCGCAGAGGTTCGCGGTTCGAATTCCGGTGGCCGTACTGGTAAATACTGCTGTGTATATTGACCGGAGTAACAATACTGTACTACGTGCAACGTCTTCTTCACTCACAGCTGACGTTAACAATGCCTCCCGGACGTCGTTCGCAAGAGTAGGCAATTGTGTGCCGAAGTCGGGGTCCAAATTTGACCAAATGCGCAAATTACGCCGCATTCACTCAATTGGAATGATACATAGCAGTAACCATCGCCCCCTACTGACCAGACTAATGCCCCAGTCGTTCTTGCAAATGAAACCACTGTCCTGGTCTCCTGAGGTTCTCTCACCTGGTACTTGGGTAAACAAAATGAACTTAACTCGATCCGTCGACGGCGGCGGCAGCGCGTGGCGAACAACCTTGGCTGACCAATCACACGACTGCGGGAATAAATCACGTGATGCACTGCCAGTTACCCCCCCATCCTTTTTTTGTCGTCTAGAAATTCCTTTACTCTTTAGTTAGCTTCAGGCGCGTGTGCGCGCGGATGCGGTCGGTCCGTTTTCTCTTTCCGTTACGTTTGCGTTTACTGTAATTTTAACAAATTTACTAAAAATATAATACTTTAGCCGTTAATGGCGCGGTGCTGTTTCCTTGACATCCCATTTATAAAGCCCCACTTGTCCGCCTGGGTGGGTTCAGGCCGAATGCCGATTTGGTGCTTCTTTTGGTGAGATTTCGTCGGCTTTCTTGATTTTTACGGAGGGGGGGGGGGCGTAGAAGTTCTCGTGAGCACGGTGGTGGCGGGGGGCGGGGGACTTGAACTTGGCTCCGTCTGTGTCGCTCTGTGGGGCCTCCCCTCCCGGTCCCCTCCGGCGTGGCGTGGAACGACGTGAGATCATCCCCCGAGGGTTCTCCCGATGGGGTTTCTTTGCACAACGTTTCCATTGCCGTGCCAACTCTCGCAAACCATGTTCCCGGAGTTTCTCTCCATCGCTCACCTCATTGGGAAAAAAGGATGTTAAAGATATATTTACGTGTGTGTGTGTGTGTTTTATCAGTTCTTTTGATTCGTCCATACTCTCAGACTGATAAGATGTAATTATTGTTTTTTTTTAATTATTATTTAAGGTTTTTTTTCTTCTTACAAATACAAACTCTACACATTTTATTATCATGTTATCTACACGCAAAGTAGCGCACGTATTTTACAGTACGGACATTGTAATGTATTTTCACTTATTTTTACGTGTGTGTGTGCGTGTAAGCTGTGTACAATTGCTTTAAAAAAACAAGTTTTGCTGTTTTAATCGTTTTAGACGTTACAATATATTATTGAACTGTATGCCTCAAACTGGCAGTTTCACACGTATTCACCAACATCTTACATGAGTTTGCCAGATGATTTTATTGGTCAATTATGTTCTGGTTGTTATTGACGACGATGATGATGACGGTGATGAAAACTGTGCCTAACAACTGCAGTTCACTTTTTATTTTTAAACCTGTGTCGGCTTCTAATTAAACAAAAAATATTCTTAAAACTGACATTGACTTGCGATTTTTTTCTTCGCCACTTTTCGAGATTTTCTTGTTTTTTTCAATGCGGTCCCCTCTTGTGGGTTTACAAAATTCCACTTCATTATCTCGCACCGTTTGCGCCCGGTGTTGACAGAACAGGCGGACAGAGTGATGTCACGAAAACCAGAAAATTAAACCCAAACTTTCCAAGCAGTTAAATATTTCCCCCCTGCACCTCCGGCAAAGTTACTTCATTATTTGTTTCCACCAAACTTTTCACAATAACATCACAGTTGCGGTATTACGTTTAATTTCACTATGTTTTTTCAAGTTCCAGTGGATTTAATATTGTTTTTCTCTGATTATTTGGCTGCTGTGTTGGTTGAAATTGTGGGATATGACCACCAGAATTGAACTGGGCCATGGATTTTTTGTGACCACAATTTACTGCTGCAGTTGCTGAAGCTGCCACCACGGGACATTTCAACTGAGAACTCTCGCCAAGTCAAACTTGACCCCGTGTCAGAGAAATAAATGATCCTGGAAGATATCAATAATTCCCTGCAATCGCCTCTTATCCACGCTGGGTGGCGTCTCTGCATTTTGCAACACGCCCTGCTGTGGAGGTGATCTGATCAAGCATTTCTTTAGTCCTCTGCACTGGATTTTAGCCCAATCAAGTGACAAAACTGAAATTAAATGTGATGGCTTTTTGCGCAGCCATTGGTGACCAGTCTGAGAACATCAACTCGATAGACTTCATATCGACTAACTCCGGGTTAATAACGGCTGGCTGAAACCCGGATTCGAACCCAGAATCGTAGCTCGGTGACTCATGACAGGGCCGTAATGAACTCCCGTCAGAGATCCCCCGGCCCACCATTCATACCGAGGATGATCATTCTCTTTGCTTTGCGTGGCCACGAGAGGGCACTCCAACATTGACTACATTTACCAAAATCGTCCGGACTGCACCCAGTCTGGTCCGAACTTGGAAACAAATGTTTTTATTTTACCAGGTAAGGCGAACTGGCCACAAATGATGGCTCAACCAAGTGGCTTATCACGTGGCAATGTATAGCAGCCAAGCGCTCTAAACGCGCGTTGTTTTGAAATGTGGAGGGGAAAACCCAGAGGACCCGGAGAGAAACCCTCACGTGATCGCGGGGAGAGAGACACGCAAACTCCAAATATACAAGCGACAGGCAAACTCCAAATATACAAGCGACACGCAAACTCCAAATACCTCGCCTGCTATTACGAGGCGAGGTAGTTAACGTCTCACCACCGTGGCGGCCCAGGATTGAGCCGAAGCCAGTCTCAACATGCTTGAGCCTGCACAGCGCTTGGCCACCGCCATGCACGAGCGGCGTTATTTGACCATACTCTTAGTTCTTTCGGTAAAGTCACGTAGGTAAAAAAAAATGAAATTAAAATTAATAAAAATAAAAATTTTAATTTCATTTTTTTACCTACGTGACTTTACCGAAAGCAACTAAGAGTATGAATCATTGCAGTCACGAAAGCTTCAAATCTAGAATTATTTGACCATACTTCACCACGCTGGTCGGGGCAGGTTTGGTGAAGGCAGCAGGGAAGGGGGGGGGGGGGCTCGAGACGTGGGAGTCAGAGCAGTCTCCTTCAAACACTCGTGCGGTGCCCTCTGCCGCTCATTGCGCGTCTCGTACACGGCCCGTGGTCACTCCCACTGGTGGGTGAGTGCCGTCCGCCAACACGCCGTCGCGGGTCACGGGGTGGGGAGGATCCTTTGACCATACTTCACCACGCTGGTCAATGCTGTCGCTGCCTTGACCACCTTGATGTGGTGTGCAACGTGGAGACTTCCGCGATGTGGGGACAAATGTGATCGCGCCCGGTTACGATCGATGACAGCGGTTGTGGAGCGTTTCTCTTAAGGGGCCGTCCATAAATGACGTCACGTACCTAGGGGAGGGGGGGTGGGTCAGACATTTGTGACGAGGGGGGGTTTGAGAAATGTGACGTCACATCAAAATGCGCAAATTTAAATAAATATAGACACGTTCTACTTAATTAAATATACTTTTTAATAAATGTTTCTCCTACAAGATCAGAGTGCATCGCCACATTAAATACGCACTACAATGACAATAGTTTAAAGCGATTTGAAGCATGTGCTTTTTTTTTGGGGGGGGGGGGGGCAGAGCTTTGTGACGTCATATTCGAGGGGGGTCTGACTTTTTGTGAAGCCGTGTGACGAGGTGGGAGGGGGGTCAAAAATCGCGTGACGTCATTTATGGACGGCCCCTTAATTGTACTTGTCCACCACTGCCAACGCAGCACCAGCAGCAGCTGCAGCATCGGCATCGCCGACTCATCTGTTGAAGGCTTCACTCATTTTCAGAGCGGGTGCCACTTTCGCCGATGAGACAGCAGTGTGTGAAGGCCGCCACATTTGAAACCGTTTGGGGTTTGACAGCAGCATGATGATGACGATGGGGGATGAAGCTCCACTGGCTCCAGTGGTGCGCTGTGCCAGCTCTCACTCAAACATTGAGGACACCCAAATCAACACCGCACTTCGTGGCATCTTCGGCGGCGCCCTGAGGTCGACCCCACGACCGTGGTCTCCTGCTTTGCCACGGTGGCTAGGAGATGTTCACTACCTCGCCTGGTCTACAGGAGGTCGTGGGTTCGACCCCGACCCTGACGCCTGCTGCTGCTGTATATTTGGAGTTTGCGTGTCTCTCACATCATCACGGTGGCTAGGAGATGTTAACGACCTCGCCTGGTCTACAGGAGGTCGTGGGTTCGATCCCGACCCTGACGCCTGCTGCTGTATATTTGGAGTTTGCATGTTTTTTTCCCTCCGGGTCCTCCGGGTTTACCCTCCACATTTAGAAACACGAGAATAAAATTCCGTCTCTTCTTCAACCCCCTCCCAATGTGTACAGATACTACTGTATGTAGGGTGTGTAGGTATATATGCCTACAAAATAAGTAGATTTGGGGGGGTGGGGAGAGTGATGTTTATTTTTTTGGGGGTGTCGACAATTGTTGTTAACCTGTTGGATCAACTTTTTACCCCCACATCTGGGGGGGGGGGGGGGGGGGGGGGGTCCACTTTCTATAACTTTTTGATTGAGGCCTTCTGAAAGGCTCTTATAATTGTATAATTTAGTTGATGGACAAACGGACAAGTGGAACGCCGGGCTTTTATAATATAATAATGCGTTTAAGAGTATTTGGCTGCTAGAAATGTCCAGGTCATAAGCCACTTTCGTTGACTTACCATTTGTGGCCAGGTCGCTTCTGGAAAAGAGCAAAGTAGCTCAGTGGGCCTCACCTGGTAAAAAAAATTAGTTCAATTTCTAGTTTCACATCACTCCCAGGCGGCTAACGTATGACGTGATGCCGTGACGACTTGGCAGCATCCGCAAGGTTACGGACACCCGGACACCCATCGCTCTGCCGCTCAAACGACGCCTACGGGAACCTCGTTGAGGAAGCCGGGCTCCTGTTTCTCACCACGACCGACCGAGGATCTCTCACTCCACCGCGCCGCTCAAACGCGGCGTGGGAGACGCGCGTCCACCTTCCGCAAGCAGACGGACGATTTGAGAATCGCCGAACAGCGACCGTGGTGAGGTCCAAACACATCGGACGCCGCCGACGAAATGGCGCCATCATCTGGCGTAATAAGCACCACATCTCGTGTAGTTACACCGCTGTTGCTACACATCAGCATCGGCCGTACGATGAAGTTTGAAATCGGGCGAATTTCGGTTCTGAGAATTTTCAAACATCGGATTGGTTTGAATGCCACGTCTCGGTGCAGCAGGGCACGTGGGAAGGCACAAGTGCGCTCGAAGAGTGCACGTCTAAGCATAACGGTCGCTTGAAGGAATCCCAAAAACGCAGTTCTGTGAAGTCTGCTTCCGCGAGCTGCACCCTGTAACAGGTTGATGCTCCGCTCACTGCGAGAGTTCCGCCGTGGACATTTCTGCGTCCCACGACGCACGCGACGCCGTGGCGCAATCGCAACGAAATTCCGCACACAAAACTCCACACCCAGCACGCGCGCACATCCTGCACCCTTAACTTTATTGCCAAATCCGTACCGCGCCCAACCGTGCAGCCAACATCACGTCTCGTTTTTTAAACTATAAACACGGGAAAGCGAAAAGACTTTACTGCATATTTAACCGTTTACTCTCCAGAGCTTAACACCGCATTATTAAATTGGACACAACACAGACACTTAAAGCCTCGGGGGCTGGCTCCCGCCATAGGAATGTGGAATTTCCACCACTGGCTCAGAGGTGCCAACAGAGATGAGTTTTGTTTTGTTCTCGCGTCATTGATGAACATTCGTTTTGATCCCATTCATAATTTTTTTTTTATGAAATGCGCCGACGTCTGCATCACCACCACCACCAACGGAGGGGAGACCCCCGATGCGTTACGATGAATCCCGGGCCCTTGCGTTGAAATTGTGAATCTGACGTCTTCGGCTTTTGTGGTTCCCCTGCTACGGAAAGCGTTGAACGCATTCACGGCGCGTGACCGGAAACGTTGTGAAGTTGACTCGACGAGTCAACGACCGCTCTCGCCGTTGGCGTTTGTGGGGTCGCGTCGCATGGGTTGACGTTTCGTTCTACGCGCTTCAGGAACCGAATTCAGTTCCCGTTTCGGGCGCGACCCGTGAAAACAATACTCGGCAGTTGTTCTGTGGTCACGTAAATCTCGCATCTTATGGGATTTATGGGGCCTGCTCATACAGGGGGTAAATGTCGCGAACGGACGTCCGTCCCTGTGCCAATGTGTGTGTGTCTGCTCGTGTGCGTGCAATTACTCATGGCACTCTCTTTATTCCAACAAGCAAAAACTATATCTGCATGTGCCGCTCTCTTTTCGTCAATCCTCCGCTGAATGAAGGCCTACTCCCCGCCACACCGTGTCGGTCGTGGGGGTTGTTTGACCGCACTTCACTTCGCTGGTCAAAGTGGGGGGTGGGGGGGGGGTTGGTGAAGGCGGGGAGCACAGACCGTGGTGGAAGCAGAGGGGTGGAATCGCGTGTTGCTGCCCACAACGTAGGGCAGCCCCCACGGCAGCCTGTAACAACCGGGCGTGCGCGACGGGTCACCCGGACGAGCGCTTGCCCAGGCTCAACCCAGTGATTCGATAAGATTGGTCTAATCGTATATAAAAAATATATATATTAATTGTAAGTTATTGTCTTAGCACCTAGTGAACCGTTCAGTCTACAGGAATCCATTGCATGTCGACGATAAATAATAGTAAAGAAGTAGTAATAATAATGTTGTATTGTGTGGAGCTCAACTGACACACCGATAATTATTGATGCAACCGATCACGAATCACGGGGAACGCACTCTGTTGCAGGCTAGCGTGCTTCATGATCAAGTACCCAAAAACAAGAACAACAATAATAATCACAATTAGAACTTGATCTTCAAGAACACGCGACAACGCTAAGTGGTTGGGATGTAACGAGTCGGTCGCCCTCTTCCAATTCGATGTATAGTCACAACTCGATCTAGGCTTGGTTATTTATTTATGCGACTGAGAACCCTGCGTCACAGCACTGCATACACAAATCAGAATCAGACGATTCTTGCACTCGCGATTCCACGCGAGACTAGCAATCGATTCGATCAGGCGATTTAATCATTACATCCCTCCCGAGTGGTTTACGTGAACAAAAACAAAACTACGTCACAAACCGTCATTGTACCAGCAACTCAGAGCGGCTAAAAACACAAAATTAAAACGAAACTGAAACGGAGCGTCCCGGCTCGGCCGCGCTCACACCGGGGTCTGCAGGCACCGCGTTCCGCGCCCGCCATTGCCAAACGTGTCAATCATCCCGCTCCGGCTCGCGGAATCCGGCTCGGGCTTTTCGTCCCGCCGGCGCCACGGCGCGGCTCCTCGATCGGTGCTCGCCAGAGGCGAGCGGCGCCGGTCTCCACTCTGTCCGTCGTCCGATCCCTTGTCCGTCTCCCCGACCGCGATGGCGGCCTCACTCGCCGAGCCTCCACCGCTGCTGCTGCCGACACCGCTGCTCATGCTGGACGCGGTGCTGCCGACGCTGGAGGCAGTGCTGCCCGACGAAGCGTGGTGACGACGGCCGGCGCCGCTGGCGGCGGCTTCGGCTTCTTCTTCCGTCGCCGTCGCCGCCGTCGCGTCGATCGCTCCCTTTCCGTCGCGGTGTGCCAGCGCGGCGCCTCCCGGGCGTTGCGGCCCACTCACCAGCTTGGGGTCCAGCGACATGGAGCGCGGCCTCCACACGGGCTCCGCGTCGTCGACGCTCGCTGTCTCGTTTAGCGGGCCGCCGCCTGGCGGTGGCGGTGGCGCCCGGCGCTTCTTGGACCGGAGCGCCGGGCTGCTTGTGTCGCTGTCGGACGTCGAGCTGTCGTTATCCGCCGCCGCCGGAGCCGCCGCCGGAGCCGCCGACGTCGCCGGCGGGAAGTGCCGCCCCCTGCTTGGCGGGCGCTGCAGGGCATTGTGGGAGCTGCCGCTGGTGCTCGGTGCCGCCCCCTCGTCCGTCCGAGTCTCCGGGTCGCTCCTGCTTTCCGCTGGGATCTCCGGGAGGTCGATTCCTACGGACAACATTTTTGCGCATGTTCGAACGTTTACATTTCGAACATCAACGGAATTATATCTGTGTATATAAATAACCGACAGAGTCAATACCATCGGTATGTTTTAGCAACGAGCAGTATTCTCAGCAATGCTTCCATTTCAGAGAAGACACGTTCACGTGAATGCGAGTAACGGGGCAATCGTTCGTCGCAGGTAACTGCGCGACCATTGGCTCGAGGATGCCGTGGGACCCTTCGCTGCCCCCTGGGGTCTCGGCTGTGCCACCCTGGCTGCCCCTGGGGCTCGTCGTCGTTTTTGTCAAGGTGCTGACTGAAGATTATCTCAGCTGTGTTACCATGCAGTGATGGAGGGCCATACGGGCTCGCGAGTAATCCTGGGGGCCCGTGAGACTGTCCTCGCTCATCTGTACTCACTAACCTGTACTCTCGCACCTGACGCAACGTGCTGCACTCTCTCACACCACGTGATGTACTCTCACACCACGTGATGTACTCTGACATCACGTGCTGTACTCTCTCACACCACGTGCTGTACTCACGCATTTGCTCGTAGAGAGAGATGCCCCTGTGGCCCCCGAACGACGGCTGCTTCCTCAGTGCCGAGGCGTCGATCTTCATGAGGCTGCTGCAGCACTGCCTCCACGACTCTGGGAGTGACACGGCAGGAGGGAGGGAGGGGGTTGGGAGGGGGGGGGGTGCGAGGGATCGGGGGGCACGGGGATCGTGAACGACCGGACCACACGACACAAACGAGAGGAGGCGGTGTGAGTGGCATGGCGAGCGTCGTCGGCTCACCGGCGTCCAGCTGGTGCTGCCACAGCGCCTCGAGCCAGCGGTGCGCGTCGCCGGGGCTCGGCGTGGTGAGGGCGTGCGTGCGCCCCGCCCCCGCCTCCACGTTGGTGATGGTGAAGCCCGGCCCGCGGTGCCGCGACGCGTCCCGCTCCAGCACGCGCAGGCGTGTCTCCTGCGGGCGGGCGGGCGGTTAGGTGAGTGGGTGAAGAGGGTGAACGAACGAGTGGGTGGGTGAGTGCATGAGCGGGTGAGTGAGCGAGCGCGTGTAGTGGGTGAGAGAATGGGCGATTGACTGAGCGGGCGGTTGAGCGAGCAGGTAAATGGCTGAATGGTCAAACGAGGGGATAGTTGAGTGGGCGGGTGAATGGGTGTAGGAGCAGTGGGGGGGATGATTGGGTAGATGAGCGGGTGGACGAGCGGGTGGAATGTCCACCGGCGTAGCATTCCACTCAAACGTCTCCCCTGTCAGCCGTAGTGTGACGACGTTCAAGCGTCTGCCCGCCCGCCCGCCCGCCCCGTGGATTCAACCGATGGCCGCGCGGCTGCGCGGCTGCTTGCCTTGGTGACGGCGATGCTGAGCAGCGGCGCCTGGCCTTCGTCCAGCGCTGCCCGGCTCGCGTAGGCCGAGAGAGCGCCGGCCTTGAGCGCGGCGTGGAGCGGCGTGGGGGGCCACTCGGCGGGGGGGCCCTGCTGCTGCTGCTGCTGTGTCGGTCACGGCCCGGGGGGGGGGGGGGGGGGAGAGCGAATGCGTCACAACCAGCGGCCTTCCCGACGGCCGGGGTTGGACTCCGTAACACGAACTGGCGGTCACTTTCGAAGCTCGTCGATGCGTTGCCACGGTTGCTGAACTGCGGCTCCAGTTAGGGTTGCCACCTGTTCTGAGTTTCCCCGGAACGTTCGCTGTTTGCGGTACCTCTGCTGGGATATCTGTCCATCTTCCCGGTTTTTGTCGGTTTGCGTAATCGTAACGATGCATGAACGTGAGGTTCTCCCCTCTTCCACTATTGTGAGATATCCTCCTTCTGTACCTCAAAGCATCCTAACCAAGCGAAAAAAAAGTCTCGAGCCTGTGCTTGCTCGACGCAGCGATACCGCCATGACAGCACGCACAGGTGTGCTGCTCGCAAACAGCTGAACAGCACGACTCCCATCATGCCTTGCGTGCATGTCATGTGACCACCACATTGTTTGTATAATACTGTCAGCCTTGTGTAGACCACCAGCTCAAGAGAGCTGAAAGTGTGGCCATCCCTTCAGGAAGCAGTTTCAAGCTTTAGGTTTATTGTGTTGAAACAGGTATGTAAGTTGAACTTCTTTCACGCCATACGTAGCCAACCGAAATAATCGGAGGTAAGAACTCAAGAGGCCAGGTCTCATTTGCATGAGTGATCGATCTCAGTCACCAAAATAAAACGGTCTCAACAAATAAACGTAACTTCAGCAACAAAGCAAATAATAATGAGAGAAAAAACAACAGCATCAGAGACAACTTTAGACCAGTTTCTTTCTTGCTATGGACTCATTAGTACAGTAATCGTTGTGCGATGACAAACCACAATGCTGCAATTGTGGCCATGCAAGCTAAACTATGGACCACATAATAAACCAATAGAGACACGTAACATAGCGACTCTTAGAGACCCACAGAGATACATTCAAGATAAGCCACAATACTACGATTGTGGCCATGTAACTCAAACTATGGACCGATAGAGTAAACCACTGTCGTCTGCACTCCTTCGATGGAGGAGAAGGAACAGCATATCACGAGACAAACTCTCTCTCTGCTGAAGCCCTCTCGGTGTGGCCAGCAGCAGATCCGGCCATCCTGGATATCTGTAAGAAAGAGCTTCATAGCTCATCGGATTCCTCCATCGGATTCCTTATCGGAATCATTGGCTTCCTCCAGTCGAAATAAAGACTGATTCTGACTCTGACAAGCGGGCATTTAGCTCCCGAGCATCTCGCTTCTGCCACCGTGCGCAACAACAGAACGGGATCGTCGTCGGCAGTTTTCGCCGCTGACGTGAGGCTGCGATTGGCGGTGACGCCGCCGGTGAGGACCGTTCCCGAAACGTCGGGGCCGTCGCGGCAAGGGTCGAGAGCGAGGGGCACGGGGAGGACGGGAGAACGAACCTGGAGCGTGAGGGAACCCGACATCCGCACGTCGGTCATGCACAGCGGCTGGGCCACGAGGCGGCAGCAGATGCTCCCGTAGAGCGGTAGCCAGAAGGAGCACTCCTCTGTCGCGGCACAGAGAGACAGAGAGAGACGCAGAGAGGGGGTTGAAGACGTTACGGGCGCCCCGATCGTTCTCCCGCTCCCCCCCTGGCGTCCCCCCTCCCATTGCCATCACGTGGGACGCTCACGCGCGTCGCAGCCGTGTGGGACGTTCCATTCCAGCTGCGTGGGGGCGGCTCTGTGCAGAGCGCAGTGAACGAAGTCAAGAAGCACCAACTCTGGTCATTTTCGCAGCAGCGGCTTTTGGCTGCTGGCCATCAAACAATGATGGTCACTGCAATCGCGCGCTTTCAGATGCGCTTCTGCGGCCGTCTGGAACCCTCTTCCTTCCGGGATTATGAAGCCACTGGAGCTATGCACTTTTAAATCTAATTTGAAAACTAATTTCTTTAAAACTGCTTTAGTGTTTAGCTTGTTGTCCTTCCCCCGCACCTAGCACGGTTGCCTACGTACGGTGCGAAAGAAGTTCAACATACATACAAAGTTCAACGTGATGTCATCAGCTCAGATGGGATGAGCAATGAGGCATTGGTGCACATCTCCTGTTTACATCCCTGAGCCAGTGGTGGAACTTGCTAACCCCAATGGCAGGGGTGAGCCTCTCCGTAGGACAATCACTGTCCATATCCTCACAAACTGGTAGCTCGCTTCTGCCACGTGACTTTACCGAAAGAACCAAGAAGATGAATCCCTGCAGTCACGAAAGCTTTAAATCGAAATTTAAACTGGTAGCTATTTTATTGACTCCAGTGGCATGATGATGGGCGGAAGCTCATCGAGTCAACACCCCCCCAGCCCAACTAGGATTTGAACTTGGTTGTCAGTGATAGGCAATGTTTGAACATACTTCACCACGCTGGTCAGTGTGGGTTGGTGAGAGGGGTGGAGGGAGGGGGGGCGGGGTACCCAGGACCGGTTCAGATCTCATTCAACCCCAGCTTTAGCCGTGGCTGGAGATGGAACCTGGGTCACCAGCTTCACAGCACGGTGGGCTATAACCACCACGGCACCACCACTCCTACATTGTAGCTAAGAGACACATAGTGGGGTTGGTGAGGTGGGGGATTGGGGGAGTGGGGGGGTCATCACAGTTTGGATATTTCATGGAACAGCATTATGGAAAGAAAAAAGCAGAAACGAAAGTTTCGTTTAATTGGCTGAAAAAAGAAAAGGATGAGACAAGGTCAGGAGAGAGAGAGGGGAGAGAGAGAGGCGAGAGAGAGGGGAGCTTCGTTTGAGCTCCTGATTTTCTTATCATTTTTCTTTAAAAACCCGCTTCTAACTGCTTCTTTTCTTTACAGATTTTACTCAGTACGAGTAAGTATTCTGCCTCTTGCACACACAGGTAGTCATATTTGTGTGGTTTTCTATTTTTCTTTACTTTCTGAAGCTTAACAGCTCGGGGGAGGCACAGCCTTCTGAAACACGCTGTGGTTTCTAAAGTGCGGTGGTCGAACCCATAGTTTATTCAAGCATCGTTTTCATACTTTAACTGGCTTTTTATACTTTGCTTATAGTTCCGGTATTCTTCTGCTTATGTTGTTAATCTCAGTTTGCGATTCTCAAACTATTTAAGATTTGTTATAACTTGTTTCTAGTGTGAGCATTTGCCGTTAAAGCACAGAGTTTAAGCCACACGATAATTTGAACGCTACTGTTGACTTTGCGGATTAGGAAGCCTAATGGTTAATGATTAACTATTGGGCTCCTTTCGCGCAGGTACAGTTTATTTATTTATTTATCACGTAAATTTATAATTCGATCTCCATTTATTATTTATTTGTACATTCTATTTTTTCTCAATAGGTTAATTTATTCAATAAATAATAAATACATCTAATTTATTCAATAAATTAATTTATTCCTTTTCCTAACTTTCTTTATTTTCTTCAACGAGGATTACTTCTTGATCCTCAGTTTACACTCTCGAGGGGAGCTCTATATAGAAGCGCTACACCACAGTCAGGCAGCGTTTGAGGGTAGGAGGCATTAAATGGCCACCTACGCACAGGCCGCAGCTGCCAATCTGCCCGGAGCCACGAGGCCCCCCACTCGGGCCTCTGCTCCAAGGCCAACCCCCCCAAGCGCGCAGCGAACATTTCCGCCGCGCGAGAACGGCATCCGCTGCTACGCCTCGAGCTCCGTCATGATCGAGGAGTACGTCATGGCCCTGGCCGCCATCGTCCCGCCAGACACCATCGCCCACGCCGCGAAGCTCAGCGGGAAAGCCGTCTTCTTCCTGACGACGAAGAAGGTGGCCGATGCGGCCGTCGAGAAGGGGATAACCGTGCGGGGAGTGTACGTCCAACTGGAACCCATCGTTTCGGTGGCGGCGCGAATCGTCGTTTCCAACGTGCCGCCCTACATCCCCGACAAGGACATGCTGGAGCACGTGTCCAAGCTGGGCACGGTCGTGTCGCCAGTACGTGGCGTGTCGCTGGGGTGCAGACACCCCACCCTGAAACACGTCTTTTGTTTCAGGAGGCAGGTGCAAGTCCTACTGACTCCCGGACAACAAGGGGAGGGATCGTTTGTGATTGTCTATGCAGGCGTTGCCCATAGACTGTACTATGCCAAGGATTGCATCAAATGCAATCTTTGCAAAGAAGAGGGCCACTTCCGAAGGGATTGCCCTAAACCGACGACGCCAAGGGTCGGAGAAAAGAGTGGGGAGGAGGGAGGCACAGCAGAGGGGGGAAAGCAGCAAGAGCCCCCACTGCAACAAGGCCCCCAACAGCCCACACCGGACCCGCCAGCCACGCAGCCTCCTACACCTGAGGTAGTGGCCCCAACATCGCCACCTCAAGCGACTAATCGCAAGAGGAAAAATACTGAAGAAACCGGATCGCAAGGGTCTAATTCAGAGGAGGAACCCCTCCCAGACCTCGAACCGGAAGAAGCGGTGAAACCTCCCACACCGGGGGAGGAACCAGAACAGCTGCCGGACGCCGACGACATGGTTTTCGCCATCCCGGACGCCACGCCGAGTGACGCGCGGGCGGCGAGGAAGAAACTCGTCATAAGGAAGAAGCAGCGTGTGTCTGGGGACGGGTTTCCACAGCAGGAGAGCGCGGACGATGAAGGCGACATCGCCACGGAAATCGACCCGTCTACTGCGGTGATAGAGACTCACTCCCCACCAGCTATGCATGAAACGATGACAGATCCTATTGGCTCAGCCCTCGACCAAGAGGAGGAAGTCGGTGGAGAGTCATCAAGCACACTCACCGAGGATGAAATGGATGGGAATGACGAGGAAGGTCCCCGTCCCACTGCTGACCCAAAACCAGTGGAAGAAACACCCCGGGGCCATCCACCCGAAGAGCCTGAGCAGGAGACATCCCAAATCGTCCACGACACTGGGGGAGAGGATGCCGCTGGGCCATGCGCCAGCCCAGCCGCTGCAGCTCTTCCAGCAGAGACGGACGCCGGGGTAATCGACTCTGATCGGGACGACTGCCTCAGTGTGGGGAGCGACAGCAGCCAGGAGTCTACAGTCCTTGACTCTCAGACTTGCCTGGTCTCCTCGGAAGATCTCTGGAAATTCCTTGATGACACCAACCTGAGGAAGGACAGAGCGGACATGGCCATGGTTCGATGGAAGGACAGCAAGGCAATAAAGGCCTCTGTGACTCAAGCCGACAGAGTCCTCGCCAATCAGGGACTCAAGTCCCGGGGCAAGGAGAGGGCAAAGCTGAGATATTTCCGCAGACAAATTAGGAAGTGGGAGGACATGGAGGCAAGCAAAAACCAATGCCTATGTACATCGCCTCCCTAAATGTGAACGGCTGCAGGGAGGCAGTGCGGAGGTTTTCCGCGATGTCTCTTGCGAGGAAACACGCTGCCTCTGTCTTCTTCATTCAGGAGACGCATCTCACGGTCGAGGACGAGGATGACTGGAGAAAGGAGTGGGGAGGGGACTCCTTCTACAGCCACCTTGACAACACCTCCTGTGGAGTCGCGACCCTGTTCGCTAAAGGGTTTCATCCCGAGCTCATCACCCAGACCGAAGTGGTGAAGGGAAGGCTGCTCGCGGTAACGGTCAGGGTGGGCGATGTCACCACCCACCTACTGAACGTGTACGCGCCGGTCAACAACAAGGAGAAGATCCCGTTCCTGCACCTCCTGAGGAGGCACCTGGCTGGGATCCCGGACGACGAGTGCGTGATTGTAGGGTGGCGACCACAACTGCACAATCGGCGCCCTGGATCGTTCGGGAAGGCAGCAGGGGGGAGTTGGGCCGAAGAGGGAGATGCAGGGACTACTGGAGGACGCCGCCTTGGTGGACGTGTGGCGCATACATCACCCTGGCCAACGCCAGTTCACGTACACGAGGACGAGGCGCGATGGCTCGGTGACACAGTCCAGGCTCGACAGATTTTACATCTCTAAGAACTTTGTGACGTGCGCCATAACGTCTGGCATCAGGGCGGCACCCTTCACGGATCACAACCTCATCGTGCTCCGTGTCAGGCTGGAGAGAGCCCGCGAGGGCGCGTCCCACTGGCATTTTAACAACTCGCTGCTGGGGGATGGCACCTTCATAGAGATGTTCGAGGACTTCTGGGAAGAGTGGAAAAAAACCAAAACGCAGTTCGACTCTCTGGCCCAATGGTGGGACATGGGCAAAGTGCACACCAGGCTGGTGTGCCAACAATACACCTGGGGGAGCACCAGACTGAAGAACGCGGACATCACCGACATGGAAGCCCGGGTCCTCGATTTGGAGAGTCGCCTCGCCGAGGACAATGACCCTGCTCTTCTCCGAGAATACGAGGAGATTAGGGAGCGTCTCAAAGGCCTACAGGAGGAGCAGACGAGGGGAGCGTTTGTGCGATCCCGGGTGAAGCTCATCACAGACCTCGACACGGGATCCCCGTTTTTCTACTCCCTCGGGAGGCAGAACGGGAGACGCAAATACATGGAGTGCCTTTTTGATGGTGACAGTGTCCTGGCGCACGAACTCCAGCAGAAGTCGACCATCATCAGAGACTTCTACGGC